AGCATCTCAAGCAGCAGCTTCAACCAAAAAAACTAAGGGAAAGAAGGGAAGACCCTCAGCTGAGCAACAAACAGTGCTGACAGCCTCACAGTTGCCTAGCCAACCAATCCAGATGTCTCAAGGAAACTCTCAAAGCTAGCAAGTGTTCTGTTTTGCAAAGTAGTAGCAAATGCTTTTTTTGGTGATTTGGATCGAAAGTCAAAATTTGTAGTCAACTCTATATGTTTTGAATTTTTTTGCTGAACTTACATGGTAATGTTGAAGAATTATGCCATTTTGTCTATATTAAGAATGGTGGCCACATTTTGAATGATTTTCCAGACTTTAATGAATGTTGGCAACTGATGCCATTTTGTTCAGCTTGTTAATTTTAGTTGATCTCAATGATTGATTCATTCAAAACCAAGAAAATACAACCTTACTCAATCAAAATGCAAATTATTTTTCCATTTTCATTCAAAACCAAGAAAATACAACCTTACTTTTATAATTTGTTCCTAGTACACTTAGTCTCTGAAGTACATGGCAACTAAATACACAATGATCATTTTAGGGTTACAAACAGTAAAATAAGATACATCACAAGAGCAATTCTAACAACCATATAAACATAGCTTGCAAACTCATATGCTTTGTCTGTGAAATCAATAAATTCCTCTCTTAATACTCTCAAATTGGATGATTCTTCATGATTGGCTATAATTTGATCTTCAGGAACCCACATGAAAAAACCACAATGCCTGCACTTGTAATATGACCTCCCTGGATTGGAAATTGAGTCAAACACCCTAATATCAGCAAGTCTTGGTGGATTACAGTTGCATTGAATTCGTCTCACCCACATGGACCTCCCAAATCTGCTGCCAGAATAGGAACCACTGCCTGCAGAACCAGCCATGTTAGAACAGTAGGGACCAACAGAAATAAAAAGAAAAGAAGAAGAGGTGAGCTCGAAAAAATGGAGGGGATATTTTATGGAGAATAGAAGAGGGAAAATGGGGTTTTATAGGGAGAGAACAAGGGTTGGGAAGTTAAAGGGAAATAACAGCAACATTAAGGGGGAAATTTTGGAGGGAAATGATTAAAAAAATGGGGGTATATTAGTCATTTCATCTATTACTAAGCCTAAAATGTGAATAAAATAAGTTATTAACGTCTTATTAACAGACTTAATCACGTCAATTATAAAGTCAAAACCTCAAGTGTATCAGCAGGAAGTCAAAAAAAAAATGTGGTACCGCTGAGAAAAGTCAATACCTGGAGTGTATCAATGGGAATTTCCCTTTTTTTTATTTGTGGGTTATCTTTTTAGGGTATCAAGTAAAACTTTCTACCTTCAAATTCAACATTCTTTATAATTTATTGTTTAAATGTATAAGTCAATCAGAATCAAAATGTGGGACGTCGATTCTTGAACTTTTTTTAATTGAATCGATTAATTTCTGTTTCATAGCTGTTTTGAATGATTCTGGGGTCAATAAAAATGGCAATAATCGAGCGAATATAGAGGTATACTGTTTATCTTTTGATTTTTTTACTATTTCTATTTTTTTATTTGTGGGTTATCTTTTTTAGGGTTAGGGTTATTAAATTTGCTATGACTACTGTTTGGGTATGAGCATGCAGCGGAAATGTAAAATAGAACGAGAAATTAAAGGTAAAATGTAAGATAAGCAATAAAAGGAGACACGATATTTAACGTGGGAAAAACCCTCTAAATAGAGGTAAAAAAACCCACGACGACGAGCAACAAAAATTCCACTATAATAAAATGAGAGTACAAAGTTACCCTAGTAATAGGGTATTGAGATACAACTCTTACCATTAAACTCTCAAAATAAAAGAAAAGAAAATAGTGGAATAAATTACAAGGAGGAGATTAACTAGGGAGACTAGTGTAAATGGATGAGTAATTTTGTGGGTGAGTAAATTTGTATGGAGGTTGAATGTATATTGGTTGGATGCCTCAATATGAGACAAACTCCAACTGTTTATAGTTGGTAAGGTCGGTGGAAATGGATGCCTCAAGATGTATGAAGAATTCTCTAGATTTGCTTGTATGATAATATTGCTGCTAGAAAGTTGACCATTTTTCTAGAATAATCAACATAATTGTAGAATATTTGACATACTTTAGAAGCAAGAAGAATTGTATTGGGCTTCTTTAAAACTTGGTCCATATGGAATTTTGGGCCACATCTAACAATTACTTAGCTTATTCACATTTGTATGATTGGCATTCACACTTTAATTATATTCTCTCGTAAAATTCCGGCTACACCTATTGTACATGACCATGTTGTCGGGTTTTCTAGGAAATCGAACTTGTTTTAAATCATCGCCTAATACAATTAATTTTGCTTGTTTATGATTTTGTTACAGTTGTTTATTTGCTGCTTTTGGTTTCATTTTGTATCTTTGAATTTTGATTTTTGTAGCTGATTTTCAATTTAACTTGAATTTTGTTTGTTATTTGCTGGGTTTTGTTTGAATTGTTGATTTGATATTACTTATGATATAATATTGATAATTTAATTTATTGGTAATTCGATGAGAATTCTTTATAATGGTGTTTTCATTTGAATGATTTGAGATTTTCCCTCACCTTATTTTTTTTTTCCTGTTGATTGTACATTCACATTATCATTACTGTAAAAGTCAACTGAATTTCTTTTGTTTACTGTACAGGAAATCATAGTCTTATGCCCTGTTTGATTCACCTTAATTTTGCTGAACTGAAATTATTTTTACTGAATTGAACTTATTTTTACTCAACTGAACTTAATTTTACTGAACTGAAATTATTTTTACTGATTTTCTATTATAATTCTTCTTTAAGAAAACTGAATTTCACTAAACTGAACTGAACTTATTTTTACTGAACTGAAATTATTTTTACTGAACTGAACTTATTTTTACTGAACTGAAATTATTTTTACTTAATATTATTTTTTTAAGGTGAAGAGAACAGGACCTTAATTCCAAAATTTGGGTTATCTTACTTATCTAAGTTAGCTCCCGACAAGCTGTTCTATTCGTTTTCCGAGATTACTAAAGCTTTTCAGCCGATAAAAGCCCCCTCATTCGAGATATTGACTTTCAACTCAAGGGTTAACGGATTTCCCCATTTTCTTCGAACCCCCCCCCCCCCCCAGATAAGTTCCTCAGTTCATTTTCAAGGAGGACAAGGAATCTTATGTGCAGGAGAACACTGTCTATGTTTTATATGTAAAATCTGGGAAACAACTGTATATGAAAGCAGAGTCTATGACTGAAGCAAATTCATTATTTACTGTTACTGAAGGTCTTAAACCTTCGAGTTATGTGATGTTGGTATATGATCCAGCATCCTTGGCGTACTACCTTTATCGGCCTATGACTGGTGTAGACGAACCTAATGAATTTGGGAAAGCTGCAACACCTGTGGCTGAAGGCATGAAATATGGAGAAAAGATGGTCAAGCAGGTGATTGAGGAAGGTTTAGAGCTTGTGAGGCTGAAAGGGTCATTGACCAACAATCTGTATCAGATCAAGTTACCTGGTGAAAAGTCTCATATTGTGCTTTTGAGAACCTATAAGAAATGGGTTGACTTGATTTTTCCACGAGAGGATGAGATACGTGTGTATTTGGAATGTTTGTATTGTAATACATATGAGTCATTACCAAGTCTAAACCTGTAAATCACGTATAGTGCAAGATGGATGAGCAATAAAACTCTGGATTGGTGCACATTTGGAGTAATGACAATCAGGGGTTGGGGTACATGGGGTATTAGCCGTGTACTTTTATCGAGGCCGTATGATCTACGAGTCTCCTATTTTAAATATTTTTTTTAAAACTAGGAGTTAGGTGAGATCTCATACTAACTACGGTCACGGAGTCGCGCCCGTGGTTGTTGGATGTTTATTGATGTGTTCCAAAAGGATGCATGTGGTTTTCTTTTATTGATGTTCCAAATGGGACATGGGTTGGACAACCTTGTCTATTGCTAAATCCAATGAAGTAAATAAATGAGTTAGTTAATATTAACTAGTGAAGTCATAATAAATTTGATGGTTGAGTCAGGTGTTGAGTCTATAATTTAATGATGCTTATGCTTGATTATTAGTAGCATGTTAGGTATTTATTAATTTCTTTCGCAGCTTGTATGTACTCAGCTTTGCTGATTGCGTGCTGTTGTTTAAGCAGGTTGATCAAGTGATCATACCTAAGGGAGCTCAAGCGTTTCGATTAGTATGCTACAACGAATTAACGAGTTTGTAAAGTTGTATAAATAGCTCACCTAGATTTATTGGATTGTAATTATTTGGATTTTTGTAAACCTTAACACTTGACAGGTTGTCGATTGTGGCGGTGATACCTCCGATTTAGGTGTATGCTTCCGCAATTTTATTTAAAGGTTGTTTATTTACCTTTATTTCTTATTTATTATTAGTTACTAAATCGGAGGTGTTGCAACTCAAGTGAAGTGAAAGAACATGATTTTATTTGTTACTCCCTCTATTTTTATATACTTGCTTTAATTTTCCATACGCGGGGTTTTAGGAGAAATTAGAAAAATAATAAAATATAGAAATAGTGGAGTTAGTGGAAATTGGAGGAGAGAGAATTTAAAAGTATTCTGTAATAATTTTGGATTCCACTAGTTGAGAGAACTGAATTAAATATTATAAAAGTTTTTCAAAAAAGGAAATGGAGCAGGCATCCAAAAACAGCCGTAAAAGGAAAGTGGAGTAAGTATAAAAAAAATGGAGGGAGTAGTACGTATAGAAAAAGATTCTATCAAGTCGAAACCTCTCACAGATCCTCCTAACTCAGGTTAATTCGAGGATGGAAAATACAAAGCTTAAGTCGTTACCGGTTACCACTAGACCAAGTAAAATAGAGAGTATCAATTCGCTTACACAATTACACGGTTACAGGTCTTACACCCCCAAGCCCTCTCTACATGAAGCTGGTAACATAAAGTCCGATCCATTCTGTTCCCACGAGGCGCACACACTTGCAAGTTGCGACCACCAACTAGTCACACATAGGATTGACCTGCAGATTTTAATAGAACCATTTCACGATCCCTTTCTTCCCCAAAACTCGAAAACGTGCCTCACTTTCATCGCCTAACTACTCACAATAATCCCTCCTTTGAAAATTCAGATTAATCATACTCCTACTCCATACTAATAATCCAGAATTGTGTTAATTCCCTAATTTTGATTTCGACAATTCGATTGATCGGTTAACCTTTGGTTTGGGGCCATAGGTGGTTTCTCTCTCCTATGGCCTCCGATTCCACTTCTTCCGACTCCGCCTACGATTCCGCCGCCGATGTCCAAAACCCTAATCCCTTTCCTGATACTCCCACCAACAATTCCGCCATTGATGATCACCTCAGCTCACTCACATTGACTCCTCTTGTTGATGATGACCTAGCTCCTCCAATCAACGATCAACCGTCATCGCAATCGCAACCCCAAATCGATTCAAATGAAATTGAAGAGAGTCATCGAAGTCCAATACCGGAAATTGATGTTGCACAGTTAGAGGAGGATGAAGAGGAGGTTAGCAGTGAAGTGGCGGTGGAGGAAGATGAGGAAGAGGAGAGAGAAAGTAATTCAGTGAGTGCGAGTGGCGGTACCGGTGTGGTGTGGAGAGAAGTGGAAGGGGAAGCTCCTACAAGCCCTGGAAGTAGTGGTTATGCTGGGGAAAGAGGTAGCAGTAATGCCAGTAGTGCATCTGGGATTGAAGAGATTGGAGAGAGAGATGGAGGTTTAGTCAATGGCATAGCTGATTCTCAACCGGCTTGGGTTCCAGGCAAGCGACATGTTAACGAGGTTTCCCTCTTTAATTGCCCTTTCAATCACTTCATCATCATCTATTTACTTACTTACTGTATGAATGTACAATCTTATCATTTCAAATACGTAGTAAGAATTTTTCGATGACCTTGCATTTGGATTAATAAGTAGTTATTCTGAACCCTGTTCAATTATTGTGGGTATTGGTTAACATAGGGAATAGTATCAAGTATGGGAAGAAATTCATTGATTGCAATCGTTAAAGTTTTGGCTTTGTTAATTAACCTATTGAGTTATAGGGTTTTCTAGTGTGAAACCGTTGATGACCAATTGCGGTATGAATATACAGGATGATGCCTCTGTTTCATGGAGGAAGAGGAAAAAGCACTTCTTCATCCTTAGTAATTCTGGGAAACCTATATATTCCAGGTCTATCATCTGCCTTCAAGTTGTTATAATGTGATCTACTAATTACTACTTTGATGGAGTTGACAATCATGTGTAGGAATCAACGCGAGTATCAGTATTTTTATATTAAATGACTTTGCTGTCATGTAATAGGTATGGCGATGAACATAAGCTTGCTGGATTTTCAGCAACGTTGCAAGCTATAATTTCCTTTGTTGAAAATGGGTAGGTCACTTGAGTAAATTGCAAATTTTATAGTGTTTTTTTTAGTATGCAAGCTTGTTAACTAAACAATATGCTACCCGACCTATTTTCACAGGGGTGATCGTGTCAAGTTAGTTCGGGCAGGAAAGCATCAGGTTATTGTTTCATTTTGTTATATTGTTGCTCACTCACTTTTCTTTCATTTTTGATTATTGTGATTTCACTGTTAAATTGCCTTTCACTCCCAAATGGTTACTTGGTTAGTTTAACCAAGAGTTCATTGAATATTGTGGTTTACTATTTTTTAGATCTTATTATTATGCATATTTTGAAAACTAAAAACTGTCATGGTGAAACAAAGTGAGTTATTAATGACATTGCACTTGTTTTAAAATATAATTATATATAGAGCAAACCTTTCTGTTAATTTGGCATGTCAATGTCTTCATGTTCTTATTATAGCTATGTCTAGTGTTTATTATGCAAGGACTCAGATATTAGTGTTGCGCTTGTGCATGGGTAAATATGACATGGAAACTTTTAAACTTGAAGATGCCCGGACATGTTTTCCAGTACCAAAGCTATGTTTGGGAATTGGGACATGTGAATAAGGATGCTTTTAATTGTTATTCATGTATGCATAAGTGAAAAGCATTAAGTTTTTCGTTTTATGCCAAAATCAAAGCGTCCAATTATCTATATTTATTCGGAATATCGAGTGTCAGACGTGGATATTTCAGCTGCAATATAGAGTCCTAGTATCATAGATTACTGTTAGAATATGAATTTTGTTGTTCATCTGTATTGATAATAAAACCCTCTTTTCTCTATGCTTAGGCTAATGATCACCTCTTGTATGCTAAATTGGCATAAAAGGCTTATCTCTCTAAATATTGGGGATAGGGTGTATATTACATGGTACAATTTATCTTTTGGTATTTCTTTTACTTTCTTCTCAATTGTAGTGGATGCAACCTAAGAGGGTGGAGAAAGTTAAGGGATATTTTTTTTTTCCAGTTGATGTGGGGAAAGGGAAGAGATCGCTTTGTAAGTTGAAACTGCAGTTTTTAGGTTGCAGATCCAACTTACAAAGCGATCTCTTCCAGGAGCTACTTAAAGCTGGTATTTTGTTTGGGGAATGGATGGGATGTGTCAATGGGTACGCATAAATCGTAATCCGGCATAGGCTCATGAAAGCTATCTCACAGAACTATATGCCATTAGTTAGGTACAGCTGAGGTAGGTAAGAAGGATCTCATTGCATTTAGGAAGACTGTGTGAACCGATATACTTTCATGGGCAATATTGGGGGTTAGCCTCTTGAGTGGAAGTTCAGTACTTCAGTGAACTAGCAAGATTTGAGGCTGCACTTAGCTGGTTCAGTTTATATCTTTGACAGATTCCTAGGACAATAAGGACTAGTTTGCTGAGTTTGGCATTTTGCTGTTCATATTCTTTCTATGACGAGATACAAATAGCACCATTTTCACAACAATTTCAAGTTTCTAGTATTTTTGGAAGGCTAAGGTTTCAAAGTGTGTGAAGCCATTTGTGTGAGCAGCAACATCGGAGAGACTAAGTAGTCAATACTAGTTAGACTACTGGTTTGGAGTTTAAATAAAGTGTTTCTCTCACTTGTGCATCTTCTAGTGGAGAGGCAGTTAGTAGGCATTTAAATTTCTCTTGTAAACAGTCTCCTTTTATGACAGAAGCTGTTAAATGGTGTCAGCATAAGGTGGGTTAAAAGAAATTTATTTGATCATCTGCAGATAGGCATAAGGGACATAGGATTTTGTGGCAGTGGCTAGTGTTTTTAAGATCATGGTAGGCTTGTATTGGAGATAAAATCTTGGCTCATGTAGCAGCCCCATCTTTGGGATTAAGGCTTCTATTCTTGTTGCTTACTATCTTTACTTTTTTGTGGGTGCTTTGGGGACAGGAATTTTGGCATTGAGTAGGAATGATGTTTGTTCATGAGTGTTGTAGGTTTTAGTATTTTGTGGGTCTTAGCTAATGCAGAATGTTAAATTGAGTATCTGAGTTCAGGTGTCGTACCACGGCTGGACCAGAAAGTAGGAGGACTTCTCTTTCTTATTGTACTTGCATCTTTCATCCTCTTTGGACCTCTGGTTCTCCCTGTTTGTACTATTTACTTCATTGCTATAGTATTTTCATTTTAAAAAAAAGAGTTATATTACGAATCTTTCTGCTCACAAATTGTAGAACTTGTAGCCTTTTGCTTCTGTGTTTCTTACTTAAACAAATCTGTTGCAGTGTAAACTCCAAACTATTTTTCTTTAAATAGTTTATATTGACTACTCTTTAGTATTTTGGCACATAAAAGAAAGTATACGAAGAATTGAACACTGCTTCTGACCATGAATATAAACGGGTAAAAGATCCAGTGGCAAAACTAATGAAAATTGGAGGGGAGTAGAAGTAGAGGGTGAAAATATTATATTTTCACAAAATTTATTGGATGGATCAAGGATTTTAAATCAAAGATGGAGGTTACTGTTGGGTAAATTGAGTTGTGGAAGTTAGAAGCAACATGAAGAGGAATGGGAGGAGGTAGGAGGGATAAGGAGAAGAGACTCCTGATATCTGGGATCGTTAGATTAAAGATCACGTGTATTTCAATATTATTTTTTGTAGAACTCTGGTATTATGGTCAGTAGTAGGGGTGAGCGTAGCAGGGTACCCTGTAAAAATATCAGGACCCGGAACCTGAACCTGTTGCAACAGGTTCCTAAAAATAGGAACCGGAACCTGAAACTGTTGCAACAGGTTCCTAAGAATTGAGAACCGGAACCGGAACCAACAGGTTCCGGTTCCTAAACAGGGTACCCTGTCTATCAAAGTAAGTTTAATTTTTTTTTAAAATAGATGATCACAATAAAAGCTTACAACTTTAGTATAGTACTTCAAATATAACAAACCAACACTAATTGTCTAGAATTTTTAATACCATATAGGTTCCGGTTTCTTGTACCCTATAGGGAACCTGTACTAACAGGGTACCCTACAGGTTCTAGATTTAAAATTTTATTACCCGGAACCGGAACCTATTGCAACAGGTTCCTAATTTTATTACCCGGAACCGGATCAACAGGTTCTGGGTTTGGAACCTGCGGTTCCGAACAGGTTCCGGTTCCATATCAGGGTACCCTAAATTTTTGCTCACCCCTAGTCAGTAGTGCATGCCTGCATGGAGCCTTTTTTTTTTTTTTTTTTTTTTTTTTTTGTGTGTGTGTGTGTGTGTAGTTTGGGCCTCCCTCAGCCTTGGACTGTGTACAGTGAACCCTCCAGAGTCCATGCTATGGTCAGGGCTTAGCTTGTTTCTGACTTCTGAGTTACCATACATTTAGAGTTGCGTCTTGACCATGGTACTAGAAGTCACAATGTGTCCATGAAATGGTGATTAAATAATAAACTACAAACATGGAAAATATGTGTTGCTAGAATTGGCACCAATTTGTTATGTTAAGTAATTACTCGTATCCTGTCATCTTTAAGCACCAAAACTTTATGTTTAATTGGAGTTAAAATTGCTATGCAAATTATCCTTAGGTAATGAGATCCACTTGGGTTAACATAAACCATGTAATTCGGTGGCAAGGTTGTAGGGAGTGGGATCATACGTACTAATATAAATTATGGAGATGTTTTTGGCATTGGAATCCTACTTACTACATCCTTTCTTGTTTTGCTTTTGTTGTTTTTTGATACAAATTTTTTATTTATATATTTTTTATTAGAACTTTCCTTTCCTGTTTTCCCTGTATATATACTCCATTTCATCAACACCTTAACTAGTTTTGTAACAACAGAAGCCAAGGAAAGGAGGGGGGAAGAGTGTGAAGTGGGTACTCTTTTGCTTTTCAAATAGGAGATAGAATGTGATTGTGAGAGAAGGGGGATTTGCGTCTGACAAGTGAGGCATGGGAGCTTAATAAGGAAAAAACATTTACCAAATAATGAATTAAAAAAGGAACAAAGAAACAATAGGGCAGACTTTTTTGAACAGACTGGAATGGAAAGATTGAAGGTATTTTTGAAATGGAGAATATATATATATATATATATATATATATATATATATATATATATATATATATATATATATATATATATATATATATATATATATATATTAAGTACAACTGTATTCTTTATATTTTCTTATTGTGGATCTATATACTTTTCTTGATATAATAATGGTTACAGGTCATAAACTTTGGGCAAAGTTGACTTTTATTAAGGAATAAGGGTTGTTGAAGGCAAATTATTCGTACTCAATATGAGCTTATATTTATGATACTTTCGCTAGCTTATCCTTTTTTTTTTCTTCCCACAAACATTCCTTATGACGGTTCATGCTAGCCAACTCCGGATCATGTTTGGACTAAGGCTTTGTTGTTAATTTATGAGCTGACATATATGAATTAGATTTCATATCAGATAGATATTAAGTCCATAAGGTCATATTACTATTCCCGCTACCATTCTTTTTGGTCATTTGAGGACGATGTTTTTCCAGATATTGTGATAGTACTAATGAAGGCATAGATTGATATGATTTCGATTTATATAATTTCTAGATTTCAAGAAGTTGACCAGGTGCTTGATACTCATCCATGATGTAGATTGTATTGCTGCTTGATGTGGTTGTTTAATGGGTTTAAAAACACATGCTCTCGTACGTGGAGAATTTGAAAGAATCTGCTGGTTTATAGCATGTTTTTCTTTTTACACCATCGTTCAGTCATGCATTTACTTTCGCATCAGTTCATACCCTGTTAACCTCTACTTTGATTTCAGGTGGTATTTCTTGTGAAGGGACCTATATACTTGGTCTGTATTAGCTGTACTGAGGAACCGTATGAGTCTTTAAGAGGACAGTTGGAGCTGCTTTATGGTCAGGTAGCTTCCTTTTTCTTGGGTTCTCTGTGTATTATTGGTTGATGAATGGAACTTTAATTTTGACTTGTGCACTGTGATATTCTGTATGCAGATGATCCTTATTTTGACAAAGTCTGTGAATAGATGCTTTGAGAAGAATTCAAAGTTTGATATGACACCATTGCTTGGTGGAACAGATGCTGTTTTTTCATCTCTCATCCATTCCTTCAGTTGGTCTGTCTTACTCGTCCCTGTTAATCTATTACTTTTACAGATCTTAATAATTCACTTCCTCACTTTATGTGCATTTTGTGCTGATTCTCATTGGTGGCTGGCTAGCCTTTGGCAACTTTTAGGAGAGACTGATGACAGTTTGGCTAATGTTTATGTACTTGAAGCATCAGTATGCATAGTGCATGACAACAATAGTTTTTTGCTTAAATCTTTTAATCTCTCTTTTTTGAGGCTTTGTTATAAACGGAGACAGTGTTGCACGACAAGCAGCAATTATCTTTCTCATGATTTTGTAGATAAGATATACTTCCCCCTTTTTATGTAATAGATGAAAACCTTTGAATATTAATATGAAACACTGACGTGATGAAAAACTTAGCCATATGGGATTTTGTTAGATTCGTCTCAATGGGATTTTGTTAGATTCGTTTCAAAATGTTGTTAGATTCGTCTGAAAAACTTAGCCATATGGGATTTTGTTAGATTCATCTCAATGGTTTATTTATTTATTAATTTTTTTTTAATTAAAAAAAGTTTACTCATTGATAGCAAAGGTTGAAGTTTGCATTAGCAAATGTGAAAATGAAAGTGACTTATCTAAAAAAGAAATAAAGAAAAAAAACGGAGAAAGTTCATGGTGGTATGAGGTCACGTTAGTTTTATTTTATTTTATATTTGGTTGACATATCCTTTATATTTTCTTATTTTCTTAATGTAAATTTCATAGACCTATCTAATAGTTTACCTGTTATTCTGAAAGTAGATTGTTTTTCATTATTCTGTCAAGTATGTTTATTCAGCTTACTAATTATCATTGCTCAATTTGCGTTTTGTACATTGTTATATAATTCAATTGGTGGATAGTATGATCTTCATTGTGGCTTGGAATAAATATAAACCTTTCTTTACTATTATCAGGAACCCAGCTACTTTTCTTCATGCCTATACATGTCTACCTCTTGCTTATCCAACGAGGCAAGCTGCAGGTGCCATATTGCAAGATGTTGCTGATTCAGGGGTCTTATTTGCAATATTGATGTGTAAACACAAGGTTTTGTCACATCTTTGATTACTTCCCTTTTTGTTATTGAATTTACTCCATATATCTTACTCTGTGAAGCTGCAGGTTGTTAGTCTTGTAGGGGCGCAAAAAGCTTCTCTTCATCCAGATGATATGCTACTGTTGTCAAACTTTGTTATGTCATCGGAGTCATTCAGGCAAGCTTGCTTGAATTTTTCCACATTTGTAATCTGTTGACTTTAGTGTGGATTTTTTTAGCAGTTATTTGCTAGACTGAGGCTTTAACATGTTTGAATTCCCTTGTCATGCTGTGGTATAGGGCTAATAGGGGTATATATATGTTACTTGAGGTTTGACAGATTGTTTTCCAGGGAGTTTGAAACCATGTTTGTTTGTAAAAAATATAGTACCAAGTAGCTCGTCAGTATTCCTCCCCACCCCACCCACACCCACCCACACCCACAATCCATTTTAAAGCTGTGACACATGTAGTTGGAAACTTTAAGCGTAAATCACGGTTAAGGATATCTGGTTTTATATATTTATATTTCAGTTTTAATGCTGTAATATTTTCATGGTATATTCTAGTGAAGAACCTTAACCCATCAGAAAAATAGTATTAATAACCCCCATTTCAATGTATTGATCTTGTTGAAGGTGGCGTCGGATATATGCAATCTCACTTCCAAGCAGTTGAGATTTGAGACCATCATTGCTTTGGAAGGACAAGAGTTATATGTCTTCTTTATTTTGTTGAATCATGGACTGACAAATTCACTACTTGATAAATAGAGATTTAAAGACAAATTTTTAATACGACTTATTTGAGCATGATCCAGCTCTATTTGACTTGTTAAGCTCCTACCTTCCTCTTGACTTTATAAATGACTGGTCTTGGCTGATCTATCCTCGTCTTTTGATCCGTTTCCGTTATTCCTTTGTGCCTTTTGGTTATGAAGGTTTCCCTGTTAGTCCATGGTCTACCCAATATTGTGTCTTAACTTGAGATTTTGTCCCAGCTGGAAACGAGGGAGATTGGCCAGAGCTCTCTCACCGAACACACAGTGATGAGGATGACATCTAATATTTGAAAATTGTGGATGGGACTTGGGAGGGTGGGCAGCTCTTACTAACTAATCTCACCTCATTTACATTTGTATCTTTACTTGCATGTTATATGGGAAGCATAGACTGACATTGTGTAAGAGGAACTCTTGTGAGTTATGACTCATTTAGAGATCAAGTCTCAGGGACTAGTTAATTAGGTGATCTGGTCTGGTATGTAGGTCCAATGTGTATTGGAAGTTTACACAGTAGAAAAAATCGGAGTCACCAAAGTGGATACTTGATTGAAGATGTTCTTGTCTAGGAATATTTCGGCATTCACTACTTGCTAGATTGAAAGTCGCTGCTTTCTCCTGATGTCAAAGAGCTAATTGGTCCTTTTGTTGGAGGATGAGATATAAAATTCGATGGTTAGTATGTTGCTGATATTCTGGCTTGATAGTATTACAGTGCTGGCAGACTGGATGGCTTCCATAGTGTAGAGTTTCAGTCCAGGCCATGAGATGATTCTCTATTTTTTTTGTTACACTGATATCATCACCTTCAATGGCCTTTCTTCTCCTCCCTGCCCAACAAACTAATCGCTTGAATGGTGAATTTTTTTTCAAATTCTAGGGTACCAAACGGTGAAATTCGGATTGGATTAGTAAACTGTAATTCCTCAGCTCCCGTAATATTGCAACAATTACTGTTTAGGAAGTTTCACAAATATTGCAACATTACCATATTTGCACATCTTTTTCTCTATTTCTCTCCTCATCTTTGTTTTGCCTCCTGTAGCAATATTAGGTAAACAGAGGGAAGTATAATGATCTGTTTTGTGTATGCATCCTTTGTCAACCTACTATTGCACTTTACGTCACTGCGTCTTGCTAAGATATCTCTATATGTGTTTCACAAAACAACCCTTTGGGGATAGGCGTTGATTGGCTACATTTTGTGAATTAGAAGTAATCACAGTATAAAAAACGTTCTATTTAGTCATATCTGATCTAAATGTTATTAACTGCCTACAAATGACCCTGGACGGTAGGGATTCCGCCATAGATATACACATATACTATGATTTTTTCTGCTCAATTATTTGCAAGGACTTATGTGTGCTCTCCCTTGCCGATAGCAGCCCCCTCCCTGATATTATTATTATCTTCCATTTTATTCCGTTAGTATATTTTTTTTTTTTTGTCAGTGAATTGCATATGTAACATTGTCTCCATGATTTTATTCTGCTTACGTATAACGCTGCTTCCGCTGCACTAAAATAACTTGTTATTTTCATGTTGTGTACATGCAGGACATCTGAGTCTTTCTCACCAATATGCTTGCCAAAATATAATTCCATGGCGTTTTTATATGCATATGTTCAATATTTGGATGTAAGTGACATTGCTCCTGCTTTAGAAGTCAAGATTCACTGTTTGGTTTTCTTTGTGCTTTTGATTATTCCAGATTTTCACTGCTTTGTTTTCTGTATGCATTTGATTATTATGTATAGGTCTAGTTTCTACTTTCAGAATAACTTTATCTATGACATAAAAAATTGTTTACTCCCTTTTTGTTGATTTTATGAATTCTTATAGATGCAATACAACTTACAGCTATCAAATATGAGTTTATCAAAACTTTTAGCATCATGACATGTTGATTGTGCATTATGTTTAGACAATTCTGATGCATTGGGTCGTTGCAGGCTGATACATACTTGATGTTGCTCACTACTCGCTCTGATGCTTTTTACCATCTCAAGGAGTGCAGGTACTACTAATGTTTGTCTTTGAATTAAAGCTATACACTTTGGGTTTCAGCCAGCTGCGTATATAAAGAACTCACAATTATGGAAACCAGCTTGAACAGATGGCTTTCTTCTTCTGGATTGCTGTCTTGCTAAATTGACTTCATTTCTTTACTTTGATTTCACTTTAATAAATAATTTGACAAGGAAAAAGGACTACTGCTCAATTGACTTCTTTTCTTTACTTTTGTTTACTTTGATTTAACTTTACTAAATAATTTGACAAGGAAAAAGGACTACTGCTCAAGTAAAATTTTTGTTTGAACTTTGAAGTACTTTTATGTTTAGTTCCAAACCATCCTTGAGTATTTCTAAAAGCATGCACATTGTTTTCCTTTGTAATTTTTGTTTCCTTTTTTCATGGGAGAATTTGATTACTACAGGGCAAGTATCGAGGCTGTTTTTCTGAAATCAAATGTGCTAAGTGAGGTCCAAAGATCTATGCTAGATGGCGGGATGCATATTGAGGATTTACCTGTGGATCCAACTTCTCGATCTGGTTCTGCATCTTCCCATTTAGGCCAACATTCTCCAGAGAGATTCAGGGATACATACACTGGTATTGGTGGTCCTTGTGGACTCTGGCATTTTATATACCGCAGCATATACTTGGATCAATATGTATCTTCAGAGTTCTCATCCCCAATCAATACACCACAGCAGCAGAAAAGGTAAAAACTGTAACCAGATGCAGAGTTGTTTTCTCCACTGAACCTGAAAAGCAGTAATTATTAACTCCAATTTACTATTGTGACAGATTATTTAGAGCGTACCAGAAGATCTATGCTTCCATGCATGATAAAGGATTTGGTCCCCACAAGACCCAGTTTCGGCGAGATGAAAATTATGGTAAATATTGTTTGCATTCTTTGCAGTATTGTCATAGTATACATGAAGGTCAAGAATTACTCAACGGTGTTTCTTTTTTGATTAATATATTTACGAATGTTAATTTAATGCAGTCCTACTTTGCTGGGTGACTCAAGATTTTGAGCTATATGCTGCATTTGACCCCCTTGCTGACAAGGTATGTTCTATGGCTATAACTGTGTTGTAACATATGTTGAGTAATTTAGCTATTAATTTAGCTGGCAATGACCAAAATCTTCTTCTGCCAACCAACTCAACAAGTAGCTATCATTTAATATAGTTGGTGATTGGTGTAACCAGCAATAGAAACAGTTTTTGTTCTGCCAACATGTTTCACAAAGTTTGCATATTATGTACTGCAATTTCTGCATTTAGTATCATGTTGGGAGCTAAAGATCTGTATTTTCATCACCATATATTGTTTCTAGTTGATGGCAGTAAGGGTTACACAATGATGAACTCCTGTTTCACTGCCTTGCAAACTAGCAGCCCACACATTCATTCATTACTTGTGCCTTATTCTAATCCCATAAGTGGGGTTTGGCTACATGAACCAAATTTGATTACTTGAGCCTTGTACTTCTATTAATATTTCTTCATACCTTTGCAGCTTTGCTGTTTATAGATAAATTTCATGAATTATATATATATATATATATATATATATATATATATATATATATATATATATATATATATATATTCGAGGAAAATGAATTATATAGTATCATCATTCTTTTTGGTGCTAATTTCATTAAGCCTTTTTAAAAATAAAAAAATAAAAAAATAATAATAAATACTATGATGTGAATCTGCAGGCTTTGGCAATCAAGACCTGCAACCGTGTTTGTCAGTGGGTAAAAGATGTAGAGAATGAGATCTTCTTGCTGGGTGCTAGCCCTTTCTCTTGGTGAAATTTTTCCCTTGGCATTTTTTTTTATATCTTTGGGTAACCTATCCTCCTTCCACATTCTCCCCATCTTGTGGCAGAAATCTTTAGTTTATAAATCCCATAGGATATTGTTTCTTTGATTTCTTGTTAATTTTTTCTCAGCTGTTGTATCTATTGGATGTAGTATTCCTTTTTTGAGCTTATAGTGCGAAGCCAGCGTAGTTTATTAGTTAGCAAATGATGTATACTTGTAATTTCAATTTGTAGCTTTCTAGATATGAGATCAATAATGTAATGAGGTAGCTCTTCTTACATATTGCGGTTTTTGTTTTGTATATTGAGCTGCAGCCAGCTACTTATTGGCATATGATTTATAGCTATTTCCAAATTGCATATGATTTTTGGTTCTGTACTATTTTTTTCTTCTGCAGGTGCCTGCCCCAATGAGACTTGATATGCATTTGTTTTACCCCTTTTTTTTAGTCGATAGGGTTAGTGTAAAGTCGATAGGGTAAGCGTAAGCCAAAGGTTAACTTGACGAACTACACTCCCTATTGTAACTCGCAAGCGCGGGTAGACCTGGTCGGGTCTGGTTTGACCCATATATTTAAGGTAAAATGGTTTTGGGTCAAAAACTTTTGTTCAAAGCCCACAAATAACGGGTTGGGTCGTCGGGTCTGGTAAAAAATTAAAGGGCCGTCGGGTCTAGTCACACGCACACTGACACACCCTCTCTTGCAGTATAAAAAAACTGAGATAGCGTATGAAAAGGCAAAATGGGGTGTGTCATATAGATTATAGAATATGGTCCATGTCAAAGTGTCCAAAGATATAAACAAATCGGACACAAAGGAAGCTGAAAGCCTGGAACTGGAAGTAATTCAAGTAATAAAAGTAAAATCAGACATGATGACGTCATATCAAAGGGTTTTTCCCGCGCATCCCAACTCCCAATGTCCCAAGAAGAACAAACTAGAAACTTGAAACCCACTTACTAGTTACTACATCGTCTCTAAAAGTGAGTAATTAGTTTGAGCTTAAAATTGTAATGATGGAAAGCTCTTCCAAACTCATCCACAATGCTCATTTTATGCAGCCTCTCCTCTCTGGTTTCCTCTCCTCTTTTGTTTGTCTCTTTTTAACCCTTTTCTTTTTTTTTTCTTCTTCTTAAAAAAAAAGAAAACATTGCTAATTTCTTTTGGTTTTAGTATAATTAATGTCAATCATGTTATTTTTTATTTTTCATGCACAGTCAATTCCAATGGCATTTGTGAAGCTCTTGGAGAAGGAGTTGAAGGTGAAATCAATGGAGAGTATGCCAAGTGTGGTGCTAACGACGGATGATGAGCCTGGCTGTCATTGGTTTGTCAAACTCGAAGGCGGTCGTCTTTTTAAGGATGGTTGGAAGGAATTCTGCCACCACCATGGTTTAAAAGTGGGTGACTTTGTGGTGTTTTCTCATCAACTTAACTTGATCTTCCAAGTCTCTGTCTTTGATCCTGTCACTTACTGTCAGCGCTATTTTACTGGTCTGTTCTTTTCTGTCATCATTTTTCGTATTAAAATCTAGTTCTAGTAATTTAAGTAAGATGAACTAAGTACGAGTCTATCCTAAGACTACTCAAAGTTGACCTTTGTTTGCATGATTATTTATTCAATTTCAATAGGATTAAAGACAGAGAGTACTTGTGTGTCCAAACTTAACTATAATGACGAAATGACTGGCAAAAGATCATCAGAAGCTCGAGTACATGACAACTCGTCTGTCCAAGGACGACAATTGAGCTGCCGGATTACTCTCACATCATTTGCCTTTAAATCTACCATTGTTGTAAGTCTTTCTTTTAAAATTCCTATTGCTCTTAGCCATTTGTTAGTCAGTAATTGCTGTTGGTATTGTTGATTATATTGTGTACTTTGAACCTCAATGGTAGAAAACTTGTGGCTCTTCCCTTGACTCAACTTAATGGAGGTATTTTTACATAGTGCTAGTTGTACACTTGTACTACTTAGCCTCTTTTCAGCAGTGAATTTTGTTGAAGTAAAGGGCTTTTTAGAAGTTTGCTCGATGAGGATGTGAGTATCTTGAACTCCTATGAATTTGTTCAATAAGGAGGGTAGTTTGAGATTAGATTAAACATCAAAGATTAGGATCAGCTAGGAGTTCCTGACAAGCTTGCAGCATATATGTTGAATCGATTTAGTCTATATGAGTGTCTTTGTAATTGTACAAGTAACGTGTACCTAATAAAACATCCTCGATTCCTCAAGTCTGTCCAGCACTCCTGCATAGGATTTTTGTTAGAGGTTAGACATAATTGGACTGATGCCATAATGTTAAGGTTGGAATAGAACAGCCACTTGTAAGCTGTATTGCCTGCATATGTCTCTCTTAAGGGACTCAACCTTGGCTACTACCTACTCCATCAGATTCTTGTAGTGTTGTACTGTTGTGTCTCGGTTGAACTATGTAGAACAGATACGTAACTGCAATTAATTGTAAAAAGACAGTTCCAATATAGTATGAAAATAGCCTGCAGGTCACTCTTGTAAGGATACCAATACGATATGTAACAGCTTATAGACTTGACATCCCAATATATTTAGAGCTTATTCACTCTCCCATGGTTGCTGGCCTGTCACTTCCGTCCACAAGCCCTAAAATTAGCCACGGAAAAGCATAAGCCATGCACACGAAGTAGGATAAAGAGTCCACTCCAATCCCACCCCTATGTATCTGCAAAATTATGTTTGGACTCGTGCAGAGTGTGTCATTCATCCATTGATTAGCAACTACTGATGATATCAATAACTAAGATCAAGTAGTAAGATGTATGCTAAATTATTGGTTTACTGATAAGCATTGTAACTTATGCAGTATCTTCCTAAAAAATTTGTTAGATCGAGTGGTCTAGAATATAGATGCTGTGACATGAAGCTCATTAATAGAGAAGGTAATGCTTGGAAAGTACAGCTGAATTACAGAAAATATGATGGCCAGGCCTATATTAGGGGAGGGTGGAAACAATTCCAGGCTGCTAATTGTTTCAGACCTCAAGATAGCATCTGTTTTCGGCTCCTTGAGTGTGGAAAGTGGCCTATCATGAAATGCTACAGTAAGTAGTAATCTTCCCTTCAACAGATCTTATTTTAGTTCTTCCTACTGTACTCTAGATTACATAAATATCTTTGAGTTAAACACAAGTATAATAATAATGGATTTTTGAGCAGGGCTAAGCAGCGGAAGCAAATCCTGATTTCGCAAAGGATGATGTCTTGGGCAACATGACTTATTTTGGCAGTAAATATGGATCTTGCTTGTTTTTGCTTCCAGCGATCCAACTTGTTCTTTGGTATATAAAAAATTAGGAAGTTTAAGGTGTAAAATACAAATGAACTGTGTATGACTGTAATGTGCGCGATGGTTGTGCATCTATCTATCTATCTATCTATCTAAGCTAATGTATAAGTTTGCATCTTGGTATAACATAGGCATCAAATTACTAACAATATATCTGCAATTTGCCATCAGACAAAGGTGTAGGCATCAACTAAAGCATATGCTCAGTAGTCAGTATAACACTGTACATCACTTTCCAACATGTTCTAGAGCAGAATTTCAGATTGTGGTATTTCATGTCTTCATCACTGTTGGTTTAGTTGGGATTTTTAAAATCCTAAAATTACATGAACTTGGCTGTGTTTTCTGTTATTTTCAGCAGCCATCGAGTCTTGAATTGGTGAGTTAAAACATCGAAGGCTTGAAGCAGTTCAGTGCTTGCTGCTTAGCATTCAATATCCGAATAGGCACAAGACCATACTAATTTAATTGACAATACTACCAAGAGTTGGATTAATATCCTAAGTTTTATGTAGCTAGCACTAATAGCAACACCTTTAATAACATGTAAACTACATCCTACATAGAGCCAAAGGCCCAAAAAAAAAAAAAAAAAAAAAAAAAAAAAAAAAAAAAAACAAGTGTAAGAATATAAAAAAACAATCAAATAACATGAAAAAGTAATCTAGCACCAAGTTCCCCCCTCTGTGTTTTAATAAGTGTTATAATTTGACCAAACACGCATGACGAAATACTAATTTGACCATTAATTTTTCTAAATACTAGTGAGTAGCCGTTACTAATGTAGACGTGCAATAGGTAATTTTTTAAAAAAGTTTCTCAAAATTGAAATTGTCATTATTAAACCACAAAAAATGAGTATTTCTCAGAGGTTTTTTTTTTTTTTTTTTTTTTTTTTTTTTTTTTTTTTTTTTTAACCTTGTGGTTTGCACAATTGCACATATATAATTTTCTTTACATTTTACTAACATAGTTGCTATTTTTCTTAGATGGTTAAATAGTCAATTTAGTTATAAGAGGTTGAGGGTTCAATTCTCCTTAACCATATGGAGTAATATTGGTTTCTTGGGTGATGTGGCGTATTGACTAACATTGTTTGAGTGATGATGTGACATCTTGAAATGCTAGAAAGATGACATAATGAAATACATTCTCCACACACAAGCTATGTAGTTGGAAACTTGAAGCGTAAAGCATGGTTTAGAATACCTAGTTTTGTTTTTGTTTGTTTTTTTTTATTTTTTTATATATATTTCAGTTTTAGTGCTGAAATATTTTCATGGTATATTCTAGTGAAGAACCTTAACCCGTCACAAAAAAAAAAAAAAAAAAAAAAAAAAAAAATACTTCCTTCGTTTTTAAATATATGCTTCATTTCTCCATGCGCGAAATTTTAAAAGATATTGGGTAAAGTAATAGGGGACGTGAGCTGGGTTTAGACTGTCGTGAGACAGATTAGTTTTACCCTACTGATGACAATCTCACAATGGTAATTAAACCTAGTACGAGAGGAACCGTTGATTCACAAAATAAGTTATCGCGCTTGGTTAAAAAGCTAGTGGCGCGAAGCTTCCGTGTGCTGGATTATGACCGAACACCTCTAAGTCGAATTCGGACAAGAAGTGACGCATGCGCTTGTCGACTGATTGTCATCCTATAATAGGGGCTTCGGTCCCCAAGGGCACGTGTCGACGTGTCGTAGGCAAAGCTTAAGTGGCGGATGCGTCGTGAGAGCCGCCTAGAAGTACAATTCCTATCGAGCGGCGGGTTGAATCCTTTGCAGATGACTTAAATATGCGACAGGGTATTGTAAGTGGCATAGTGGCCTTATTGCCACGGTCCATTAAGATTCATCCCTATGTCGCTTCGATTCCCCCCCTCCCCACCCTATTCCCTAAACACATTTATATTTTGAAAAACGAGGTTAACATTGCTTCTTCTATGCTAAAAATTGCTAAGTACGAGATTAAGATAAGTCACAAAACCTAAGTGTTGGGATGTTAGATGGTGCTGGGGGCGTGTGGCATGTGCACAAGACATGTGCACTTTAAGGACAAGGCATACAAACAAATATTTTTTTCATTAGAGGCCAGGGTACGTGGACTTCGCCTAAAACATGATGATTAAGGATGAATAAGATGGTTCCGGACACTATATATGAATCCCAACGCCCTTTAGGAACCCGTGGAAGTACTTGGATGAATAATTTTGTCGAGTGAAAAAATGATATACGGAAGCCAAATTTGAAGGCTATAATACATGAACAAGGAGCAATTTAGTAGCTGTATGGACCCGGTGTAAGAAATTCACGGAATTTTACGGAATGCATCCGGAGGTCATATGATGTTATTTGGACCCATACACAACCATAAGTTGACTACATAAAGTCCATGTGGAAGCCTATAGCAAATACAGCAGGTGTGTACGAAAACTAGTAAATTAGATGCTTAAAGACAAATTGGATGGTACCACCCACCGAATTGGACTCCCGGAGAGTATTAAGGTTTATAGGAAGCTTCTCGGTAATTTTTGTATCTGGGCAAAAAAAAAGACAAAAATTGGGAAAATTGAAGGCTATAATACACACTTTTTGGCCAATTTCGGAGGTTTCAGGACCCGGTGTCGAAAATTCTTGAGATAAAATGGGATACATCTCTGGGTCATATAATGTCGTTTAGAACCATATATGATCATTATATATTCCCATAAATGTTCGTGATAGCCTCTAGTTTATGAAATCGGTGCAAATTGTAAACGGGTAAATTGACAGTTTGAAGGTATATTGGATGGTTTTACCCACCCAAATGGACTCTCGGGATGTATTAGGGTCCATGAGAAGCATCTCGACAAATTTTGTTATCGGGTCAATAAAAGTGAAAAATTGTCGAAAATTGAAGGTTATAATACACGATTTCGGTTCATTTTTGACATTTTTTCAAAAACTGAAGTGAATGCGTGGGGTTACTCCTGGGGTCATATAAGGTGGTTTGAAACTATAACACAACTATAAAGATGTCTATAAAGTACAAAGAATGAGTTATGTTTTATTTTGAAATTTTGGAATATAATGATGTCACAAAAATATATTGAAGTGATATTACTTGACAATAATGATGTCATTAATATAATGATGTCATAAAAGTATATTGAAGTGATATTACTTGACAATAATAATGTCATTAATATAATGATGTCATAAAAGTATATTA